TTTGTCTGGATTCACACTCTGGCCACATGGGTTCGAGTCCCAGTCTGAGATGAATGGTTTCATCTCCTCGGGGCCATCTGAGGCAAATGGGGCTATATTTACAGTTCCTGCACACGCATGAGGAGGAAACTTGTTCGAACAAAGTCAAAAACAGGTGTTCCAAATGCCCTACTCCAACGTATCCAAACCATTAACAAGCGACCACACAGGAGCCTCCCGGTTGTGAGCCCGCAGAAAGGACTCTAAGCTAGGTTACACTGCACACAGGCAGCCGTAGACAGCACGGAGCCTTCCAGAGGTCCTGGAGAAGTGAGAGCGGAAGCCCAGGTGAAATGTTGGGTGAGGCCCCGTTTCTTAGGCAAGGGTTTCTCTCTTCTTAGGAAAAATCTGCCTCCATTTCCTGTCCCCTCCCCCCAGCCACCCCAGCCCTGAGCCCACAGCCACAACACACAGCTTTTATAACCGTTTTCCTTTATTGTGCTTAGGTTGGGGTGGAGGTGACGTTCGTTGAGACAGAGAATACACAAAGGGATAGACTCTGTGCTGCCTTCCAGTGGCCCCTGGTTCTCCGTCTCTGGGCCAGGTCAGGCCTCCTCCTCCCAGAGTGCGATCCGGCCAGGTCCCTGAGTCAGCCAGGCTTCCCCCGAGGAGGCCCGCAGGTCACCGCCACCATTACTGGCTGGCCTCCCGGTACTGGTGCATCAGGTCACTGACGTCTGTGCTTTCCACTTTCACCCAGCCGTCCTCCTTCATGTGGTACACTGCAGGCAGACGGGAAAGAACACGGAGTCAGGATCCCCTCAGTGAGGTCCTGCTAACGCTGTTACGTCGAAGGCAATGACAGCAACACACGTTCTCGAAGCCCTTATGACGGGGACTTCAGTGCCCCTCTTCCGGCTCTGGAAGTCTGCTCTCTGCCACCCTGCCTCCCTCGTATCTCCCGATCTCAACCCCCTTCCCCTCACCCCAGGGACAGAGAGGGGCACTTTGATCTCTTACTATTGATAAAGCCTCCAGAATAGCTGTCTCGGTGGGTGGCATGAACAATTGCCCTTCGGCCCAGGTCATAGGCCTCTTCAATACTAAGGTCAGGTCGATAGCCACTATCCATAACCCCATAGGCATGGGAGTTCCCACTACCGGTGGAGAACATATTTCCTGAGAGTCGAGTCCCATTGTCATTCACATAGTAGAGTCCAGGACCCTATAGGAAGCAAGAAAGTTCCAGGTTGGAAGTTGTTGGTAACACCCAGATTCAAGTGTGAGCCACAAGAAGTGGACCAAAGACTACAGATGAGCCCAGGAACATGGGAACTAGGAAAGCACTTTGGAAACAATCGTAGAACTTTGAGGAGGAAAAGCAAACTTCAAATCAGCTATTTGATCCAAAGGGATGAGTTTATGAAACAACGGTCCACATCCGGACCCAGAAATTGCTGTTGAGTAACAGTTCTGAAACTAAGCATTCTCTGTGCCCTGCATCCTGGAGGGGAGGGGAAGGGAGTGTGAGGTGGGGACACTTACCTCTCATCTACACTTTGGAATACGGAGCAGGGAGGGGACTCACCTTCTTGTCCCAGCCACAGATCATGCTGCCCATGGAGAGGCCCATGCCCCGGTACTGGCACATCATGTTGGAGAGCAGCTTGGAGGCGGCCGACACAGAGATACGCTCCCCATTCCGCAGATAGTACAGCCTGGGTGAGGACAGGACAGTCCAGGGAAAGAATTTACAAGGGGCAGAAGGGCAGCCCTCTGGGCAAGTTATTTGATGGGCAGAAAATGGCTGAAGAGATAAGCATCTAAAAGGAATGGCAAGGATGGGCAAAGATCTGGAATTTATATAGAATTCTTTTCTTTTTTTTAATTCTTTGGGCTTTTGGTGGAACATGTGGGATTTAGTTCTTGAACCAGGGATCAAACCCATGCTCCCCATGTTGGTGTGCAGAGTCTTAACCACTGGACTGCCAGGGAAGTCATCAAAATCACCTAGAGAAATCCCAGTAAATGATATCCCACCAGGGTTGATGGTCATTGCTAAATAATTGACAAATAACCTGGGCTTCCCCGGTGGCTCAGATGGTAAAGAATCTGCCCGCAATGTAGGAGACTCAGGTTCGATCCCTGGGTTGGGAAGATCCCCTGGAGAAGGGGCTGGCAACCCACTCCAGTATTGTTGCCTGAAGAATCCCATGGACAGAGGAGCCTGGCGGACTATACAGTTCATGAGGTTGCAGAGAGTCGGACAGGACTGAGCTACTAACACTTTCACTTTCACTTTCAATCTGGCTTCTTGGCAGCAGCACAGGCTTGAGATTAGGGAGAAGGTTTTTTAATCACCAAAAGGCAGCTTTGTGAGATAGGACATTAGCACTAAGATGCTCTGTGAGTGTAGGGAGACTGGGGGAGGAGCAGTGATCTGCAAGATGCAGAACCCGGGCTGAGAAGAGAGTAAGAGGCCTGGCCTACCTGCACTCCTTGGCCAGCAGGCGCTCCCAGTACTGGCAGTCAGCCGCACAGCCGGACATGGTGCCGAGCAGGTAAGGGTTAATCTCAATCACCTTGTTCACCTTTAATGTGTCTGGAAGAAGATGGAGTTTGGGGAGAGGGGGAATGAGTTCACAGGTTTCCCTAAATGTCCTGAGTCAACACCTGGTCCCACTTTGGTGCAGATTACTAGACTCCTGCTGAGACGAGGGCCCAGCTCCCCAGATTCCGCCAGCCAGAACCCACACACTCACCAATGTAATTCCCAGCTGAGGCCCGAGAATCCACGGCCACAATCACCCCATGCTGGAACCTGAAGGCCAGCGTGGTCGTGCCGTGAGCCATCTCGATCTGCACGTTACTTTCTCCATTCCCACCCAGGGACCGGAAGAATTCAGTGGGCTAATGAGACAGAAGAGGCAGAGAAAGGACCACTGCAAACTTCCGAAGCTGGATGCTCCAGGAAAGCAAATTTACAGGGCATGGGAAGGTGAAGATAGCCATACCATGAATAAATGAAGCAGTTAACAACCCAGTTCTACAAGAAAATGATTGGGGAGAAGAAAAAGAAGAGGCCACGACACCGACCTTTTCCATTTACCAGCACAACCAGAAATGAAAATAAAAATTTTTTAAGTTACCATAACTAAACATTTTAAGGGTAACTATGATGATTTTCCATTCATAGGTAATTTAATCCTCAGGAAACACGTTTTATGAATCGTATCCCCATTTTACAGAAGAGAGGCCCAGGAGACCTAGACCAAGTCCTGGGGGACTTGACCGAGGCACACAATGGCGGAGGCCAGGCCCACCGCTCAAGGTCATGGGTTTCCCAAGAGTCTACAGCCCCTGTATCATAGGGTCACCCAATAAGGAAGACTCCGTGATCTGTGTGTGATGGAGAACGGGGATCCCACCCCCAACTCTTTGTCCTAGTCTGCACTTCCTAGCCCGCAGGCGGCCAGCCCCCAGGTCCCACGTGGCCTCTTCCGCAGCTCTGGCCCTGGACCCCAGACGAAGCTCTCCTAAAGGATGCCCCCTGCGCGATTCCCCGCTTCGGAACAGCCTCCATGCAGCCCCTCCGTTACTCTGCGCACACCCCCACCCCCGCCAGCCCGCCTCCCACGGGATTTTGTTAGAGCCCTGACCTGCATGCCCCGGGGGAGGGCGAGCTCCGGAGAACGCAGGGAGAAGCCGTAGTGGCCAGGGTCCGAGCGCTGCCGGCTTCCCGCGAAGGGCACAGCCCAGTCCCCCCGCTGCCCTCGGGGGGCTCCGCACACGTCCAGCAGCGCCATCGCTGCCCAGCACCCAGAGATCTGGCGGCTCGCGGAGAAGGAAGTGAAAGCGAAAGCCCGAAGCCTTAAGGGGAGGGAACCAGAATGTTTTCCACATCCCCCTGCCCTTTCCGAGGAGGCGTCCCGTGAGAGTCCAGGCACCGGGAGCGTTAGGTTGGGAAGAGGCTTCTCTGCTCCGCCTTCATGGAAATTGGGAAAACGATGGTGCCGGGCCGTTAGAAGAAAGGAAGAAAGACAGAGCGGCTTCGAAAGCCAACACCCCCCACCCCCGCCCCCGCCGGCGATGAGGTTTCAGCGAAAGACACGGCCAGCCTGCGGCATCCTTCGGGGACAGTTACGGGGTTGGGGTGGGGGTCACAGCATCAAAAGCGCAGCCTCACCCCCGAACGGGCTCAACCTCAGCGAAAACCTGGGAGCAGTTTCAGTGGAAACGGGGGAGGGGGCGCCTAGCAGCCTCGTTTTATAAAAAGTAGGGGAGGGCTAGGAGTGCGTGGCGGCCCTGAGACCCAGGACAGGTCCCGGGGCGACCGCCCGCCGAATATACCTGCACAAGTGGGGGAACGGAGAGCCTAGGGGAAGGCGCAGCCCCAGACTTCCACCTGGTGCCTCCTAGGGCCTCTCCCAGTTCAACAGTCTCCCCAACCTGTAGCCACCCACAAGAACTGCGCTTTCCGCCCCCAGCTCCTCGCTTAATTCTTGCTGGACCGAGCACTCCGGAGCTCGCCTTTTCTAAACCCCGCCTCGCCTTGCAACCTGATTCGGCCTCATCTGCTCAGCAACTGTTGACGTCACACGAGCAGGGCGCGCTCTGAATGGAGGAGGTGTACTAGAGCGCCCCGCCCACTTCGCTGATGACCCCCGCAGGTTCCACCGCAGAGCGCGGTGAGCCCGGCTGCAAAGGGCCGGCGCTGGCGAGAGGGATGGACTGCTTTCAGCCGTGCTCACCCTGGAGCCTCCTCCTCCAGGCTCTGAGGCACTGCTGCTGCTGCTGGCGCCTTGGAGGACGCTGCATCCCTGTCTGGCTCACTCTTGGGGGGGCGGGCACAGAGGGCTGGAGAGGTGGAGAGGGCACCATGGGAACAGAAAATTTAAGGGAGAAGATGCCACGCTTCGGGCTGGGGATCACTGAGGATGCCGAAGGAGGGAAAGACCCAGCTTCCGAAAAGCGCGCTGCAAAGTTCGCGGGCCACTTGGGCCATTGAAAACATGAGAAACCAGGGTACAAAACACCAATTTTATTATAAATATCAAGAAACTACAATGTATCTATGGGCCAGCATCTGCCTGGGGTCAGACTGGAAAGAAGCCAACCTTCCCTTTCTGTGTATTCTAAATATTTCTCTTCATTGTCTGGGTGCTAGCCACAGCAACCCTGGCTCCAAACCCAGTTACACAAGGAGTTAGCACCCCTGTTTTCAACCCTGAAATCTCCATTACCAAGAGGAGCTTGGAGAGCAGGTAACACTCATGGCAAAATTTCAGGCATCACCTAGGGGGTTATGTTTCAGAAGCAGCTACCCATGATGCAGTAAGACCTCTGTTCTCAAACTCTCCACTATAGAGAGGGAGGGAGGGAGACAGAGTCTGCAGGTCTGAGGAGTGTTTCATTCTGGAGCACCTGGCCCGCCAGGAGCCTGCAGCATGGCCCAATAGCGTCCTTTATTCGTCATGAGCTGCCGGTGGGTTCCTGCCTCAATGATCATGCCTCCTTCCAGAAAGAGGATGTGGTCAGCCTGCTCCACCGAACTGAGGCGCTGGGTGATGAACAGCACTGACCGGGAGCCCCGCTCAGGGCTTTCATAGAGCAGCTGCTCCACCTGAGGAAAGATGCAGACTCTGTCAGAGGTGAGGACTCCTCCTGGCTCAGGAAGACACCTGTGTTTCCAGAGCTGGGATAGACCTTGCCTCAATCAATACCACCTCTGCCAATAACCCCAAGGAGAGTGAAGAGTCTCCTTCTGAGTGCTTCTCTGTCAAACTTATGATTCATGAAGGGCTGTTTACATGAGGTGGCAACAGTGGAATAAAAGTCAAGAGTCCTAGGGTGAAACCTAGAACAAAAGAGGGGAGGGTACTGGAAAGTCTCTCCACCCTAATTTTTATATTCTTTTACGGAAATAAAACTGAGTAAAGAGCAATGAGCATTCAAGTCAAGCAGACTTTAACTGGGGTCCAGGTTTAACACCGTGCAGGTAATTCCACCTCTCTTAGTGTCCATGTGCTCATCTGCTGAATGGGGGTGATAACACCCAGCTCACAAGGGCTCGTGATGAGTGAGCAAGAGAGTACATGTGAGGGGCCATCCAGCATGGCTGGCACATAGTAAAAGTTCAGTTCACATTAACATTACAAGGATGGCCTTTTGCTCATGTTTGGCTTCACTGATTCAGGACTGTAGATCATCTCCTCTAACCAATTTTAGGCATCTTGGGCTTCCCTGATGGCTCAGTGGGTAAAGAATCCACCCACAATGCAGGAGACACAGGAGACTTGGATTCCATCCCTGGGTCGGGAAGATCCTCTGGGGGAGGAAATGGCAACCCACTCCAGTATTCTTGCTGGGAAATTCCATGGACAGAGGAGCCTGGTGGGCTACAGTCCAGGGGGGTGCAGAGTCAGATATGACTGAGCTCAGTCATATGGCTCTAGGCACTAGGGCACCTTGGAGAGAAGCTCGTGGGAACTGAGAACTGCAAGGACTGGTTTGGAAAATGTCCACGTTAGTATAATGACAAAGGATGAGTGAAGGAAGGCAGCTTGGGTGGGAAATAGGCAATAAGAAGACGGCTGTCTCACCAGGGATTGGCTGTTTGCATCCAGGGCGCTGGTAGCATCATCCAGAATGAGTACGCGTGGTTTCCGGATCAGGGCTCGAGCCAAGGCCACTGCCTGTCGCTGACCCCCTGACAGCTGGCTCCCAGCCTCACCCACCTCTGCAGAGACAAGGGCCAAGGCGAGGGCTGGGTAAACACACGTGCGCCCATGTGTGCATTCCTGCATGCACACACAACAAGGACTGATGGATGCAGCAGGGTGAGAAAGGTTCTGGGAAGGTAAAGGAGTTCTGAGGATATGAGGATGAAAGAGGCACCAGAACAGGATCTTACAACTTCAAACTGATGGAGGAGCTAAGGAATGGAGGCAAGAATCAAGGTTTCCGCGAAGGTAAAGATGTCTGGGGGTCGATGGGAGCAAGCACCTGTGTCGTAACCTTCAGGGAGCTCAGAGATAAAACCATGGGCTCCAGACTCCACTGCCGCAGCTGTGATTTCCTCCATGGTCGGCTCCTGGACCAGGCCATAGGCAATATTTTCTTTAAAGCTTCTTCCAAACAGCAGAGGCTCTTGTCCCACAGCAGCCACCTAGGACAAAATACAATGCAGAGTCATAGAACGAGGAACACAGGAGTGTGGTCATCTAGAGACTGAAGGCTGAGCATCTCCACTGAGAGCCTGTCACAGTGACATGGCCTCTCTGCTGACCACACGCCCACCTCCACCCAAGGCCTCCTGACTTCCGCTCAGAGTGTTCGCAGAGAAGGCTCTCCTGACTTGAGGCTCCCTGCCCTCCCCCATGCCATCTTCTTGCTCACCTGTCTGTGCAGGTAGCGGTGCTCATATTCGGGAAGGGGCGCCCCATCCAGCAGCACCTGGCCCTCGGTGGGCTGGTACAGGTTCTGCAGCAGCACGGCCACTGTGCTCTTCCCAGACCCATTGGGCCCCACCAGCGCCGTCACCTCCCCGGGACGAAGGGTGAAGGTCAGCCCCTGGAAGCCAGAGAACCAGACACTAAGAGACAGCCAGAGGCCCCTAACCTTAAGACCAGGTATCATCCACTCATTACGTTGTCTCGTCTATGTCTTCCCCCAGAGAAGAAAGGAGAAAAACAGGGGGAAATACAGTAACTCCTCCCCTCCTGCACACACAGACCCCTCCCCGTGGAGTAGAGATGAAAGATGAAACAAAGACAGAGGCAGAACTTAAGCACCAAGAGCCACATGATGGATCTCAGACACTGTGGGGGGAAAAGAAAAAATTATATTCAAAAGCACAGTTGGAAAGAAAAAGGAACTATGGAAGACTGGAGACACAGCCTCTGCTTCGGTGATGCCTTACAGGAGAACCTTCTCCCTAAGAGCATCCACAGACATTCTCCTTGGAAATCCGGACTATTCTTGAGCTTGGGGCAGCTTTTTATTTGTCTGTTTATGTATGGCTGTGCTGTGTCTTTACTGCTACGTGCGGACTTTCTCTAGTCGCAACAAGCAGGGGCTACTCTAATTTGTGGGGCGTGGACTTCTCATTGCGGTGGCGTCTCTTGTTACAGAGCACAGGCTCTAGGGCACACGGTCTTAGTTGCCCTATGGTGTGTGCGATCTTCCCGGACCAGGGGTCAAACCCATGCCCCCAGCATTGGCAGACAGATTCTTAACCAGCAGACCACCCAGGGAAATCCCTGGGACAGTTTTAGGGGATGAATGCTGCTCATCTTTGCCTCTGAAGGGTGAGGGAGGGTCTATCTATACCTGGTGCTAAGCAAGCTGAAGGCAGGAAAACCATTTAGGATGACGGAGTTGAGAGGGAGTCTGGAGGAACGGAGGGATCTGTAGGTTGTACCTGAAGCACAGGGGCATCTGGACGGTTTGGGTAGGCAAAGGAGACACCCTGGAACTGGACGAGGCCACGCAACGTTAAGGAAGCCAATGATCCACTCTTTGGGCAGTTAGGGACCCGGTCCAGGTATTCAAATATTTTCTCTGAAGATCCCACAGCCTTCTGCACCCTGGGATAGCAGGACAGCAGCACCTGGAGGGGAGGTATGAATAGTGAGGTGGGATGTGGGAGGGGCCCAGTCTGTTGCCAGGGTTACAGGATAGGGCGAAGGAGGGGAGGGAAGTGACTTGGATGGTGGTAGCACTTGGGAAGGAAAAGCACTGGGGAGCGGCCACAGAGGGACCTCACCTGAACAGCCATGGTGAACTGGATCTCATACAGAATAAAGGTGACCAGACGCCCGCTGCTGACAGACCCACTTGTCACCAGCTGCCCACCAAAATACAGGATTCCCACCTTCAGCAGCATCCCTGAGAACTGTGGAGGGACCACAGAGAGCAAGGGCTGAAGCAGTTAAGTCAAGAACCAGAATGGTTATTATCAAGGAGAGATACAAAGTCCATTTGCGCCAAGTAACACATGGGGCTCAACAGGGATTAAAGAATGAATCACTGCATCCCGTGGTGTGATCATTCGGGTGCACAAGTCAACTACCATCATCACCCTCACCAGGAATGCCTTGTTTGGGGAGCATTCTGCTCTTCACAAGAGGCTTTCATGAATGTAATGTCATCTAATATTCATATCAAGATAAACAAGGTTATATCACTCTCATCTTTTAAAATAAGAAAATAGTCTCAGAGAAGGTAAGTTATTATTAATAGCCCATGGCTACAGAGCTAATAAGTGGTAGCATCAAGGCAGGAACTTCTGATTGCTGGTCTAATTCTCTGTCAGTTACATCACAAGATGCCCTTCATCCTTGGCTTCTGCTAGTCCCTTTTCTCTCACGAGTATATCTGCATAGTCCCAGCATGAAGCAGCCCAACAAAAGCTACCTGCCATTCCCCACGCTGCCCCATGAGGCAAGGAAAAGTCCTGGGACTGAAGACATGGTGCTTTCCTACAAAGGGGGTCATGGAGAGTCTGTGCACCATGGGGAAAAGAAGCTGTGTAGCATGCCTAGAAAGAGGGAGGGGGTTCGGAGCACTAGGTCACCCAGCCTCTGGTTGCTAGGATACAGACACTGAACCCACCCCTGCCCAGTGAAGGAAGAGCGCGGAGCAGGGTCAGGGGAAAGGGAATGGTGATGAAACATTTCAGGGACCAGGGGATAGGCACTCACGCCCAGGTACTCACAGTGCTGGTCCAGTGGTCGAGCGCGTAGGCCAGGGCCTCCTTCCGGCTGAGCACCATCATCTCATGCAGCTTTTGCCTGAACTTCTGAGCCTCACCCTCTTCGTTGGCAAAGCTCCGAACTGTAGGCATGGCTGACAGCACCTCGATGGCCACCTGGCTGGACTTTGCCAAAGATTCTTGCATCTGCTTTGCCAGCACCTGTGGAGATATGAACCAGAGATACCACACGTGGTTTGCAAACCACGAGGGCTGCTAGGACCTGAATTATCCAATCAGAGATTACAGCTGAGAGGCAGCAGAGGGACAAGAGAGAAAAAGACACAGCTTGAAACACTCACCACCACCACCCATACCAAAGANAAGATCCCCTGGAGAAGGAAATGGCAACCCAATATCTGTTCTTTTTCAGATTCTTTCCCTATATATCATTACAGAGTATTTAGTAGAGTTCCCTGTGCTATCCAGTCGGTCGTTACTGATTATCTATTTTATTAATACATATATAGGAGTGTCTATATGTTAATCCTAACCTCAGTGATCGTATTCTTAAAAGACAGGTTGTGGGCAGACGTTAGCAGACACAGAGAACATGAAAACTGACCCTGAGTAAACCAAGAACGTGGACAAACAGACCCACAGAGATGAAGAATCAGTGAAGGGGCCAGGAAAGAAATGTGACAGGAAGCGAGCCCACCACGTCTGGGCGGTAGGAGTCAGCGGAGGTTGAGGCAACTCCCCAGACATACCTTGTGCCATTTCCCCAGCTTCTCAGGCAGAATGAAAAGCAGGGGCAGGGCGATCAGGGTGACCACAGTGAGGGGCGGGGATGCCCAGAGCATGAGTCCCAGGAGACACAGGCCCCGCATGAAGTACCACAGGAACAGGCTGAGATCCGAGCTCAGAGACTCACTCACGGTGGACGTGTCATCTGTGACCCGAGATGTGATTTCACCTGTCAAGGGTTGGGGAGAAGAAGGTGGTGTGAATGAGAACCTCAGAGTGATGGGACAGGTGAGCCAGGGTGCCAGGGGAAGGGTTCTAAGAAGGCTGAGAAGACAAGGTCAGTGGTTAGGAAGACCTGGGACCTGGAACCTCAACACAAGGAGAAAGTGTTCCAGAGGAAAAGACTGGCTAAAAAATGATGCCCTTGTGAATTTCCTTTTCTCTGACAGATTTCTGTTCTCTAAGAACTTTTATATCCCAGGTACAGGGGCAGGAAAAACTTAAGCTGATCATCTAACATAGCTGGAGAGAAAGCTGCTGTTAGTCAGCAGTCCAGGAAACTGTAGCAAGCACTGGACTGGGAATCAAGAGATTCTGTCTCCGAGTTCATCTCCATCTGTGCGCATCTGTGCAAGTGTCAGCGTTTGGGGGCAGGCCTCAGTTCCCTTCCCTACGAAGCAAGGTGGTTGGACTCTGTGATCTCAAAATGTCACGGTTTTAAATTCCAGTCATTTCTATCTAAACACACACAGAGGGATAAGTCTGTGAGGCTTGGATGGAAACACTAGGCTTTCCTTAAATAAAAGGAGTATGTTTTGCTCTTGAGGCATGTTGAGAATAAGACATGGCAATGTTTATGTGTGAGAGAAATCAAGATTATAAGTAAAAGAGGAGGTATGGGTTTCCCTGGTGGCTCCGATGGTAAAGAATCTCCCTGCAACGCAGGAGACCTGGGTATGATCTCTGGGTCGGGAAGATCCCCTGGAGAAGGGAATGGCTACCCACTCCAGTATTCTAGCCTAGAGAATTCCATGGACAGAGAGCCTGGTGGGCCACAGTCCATGAGGTCCCAGAGAGATGGACATGACTGACAGACTAATAATTTAATACTTTATGGGTATACAAACAGTAAGTGAATGGATAGTGAAAAGAGTTTCATGAGAAACCTGTTTGGTTCTTTTGAAAAAACTCTGTCTCCTGGCGCAGGACAGCCTGAAACACCTCTCCCTGCAGGTGGCTGTGCATGCGGCCCATGGTGCTGTTGTAGATTCCATCAGCCGTGAACTCCAGCACTGCGCTACAGGGAGACAAGAGAAGGGAGACCCGCTGTCGTCAGGAGGTCCCCCAGAAGTCCACCCTGGATGGCTGCCCCAACTTCCAACTCCCACTTTCTCCAAATCCCCTGTCCCCCAACCTTCCAACTTCAGTGCCCAGACCTGGCTATGGTGAGGACCGACATCAGAGTTACGTTCCGAGTGAAGGCAGTGCCTGTCTCATCCTGTACAATCCAGTCGGTGAGCCGGCCAGTGAAGAACGGAATGGCCATCTCCCCTGGGGAGGGGAAGAAATAGCAAATCTAAGCAGGTCAACTCTCACCAGACCCTGGCCCACTGGCCTTTCACATTTATTCATTCTCCTGCAGAGCAGTGGCAGAAAGATATCATCTCCACCTACACGGGGCCCCACCAGACCTTTAGAGGTTTAATGAGGAAGCCTAGCGGTCATAGGATGGGCTGCCCAGGAAAAGCCCTTGTCCTTGGTGGCCAGTGAAGCGACAACACGCAGGGCGGCCCTGGAGCCCAGGACCCCTGACAATTACCCAGTCAGGACCTTCCCTCTCCACTGGGGTGATCAGGACCTGAGCTGGGTCCCCTTCCCCTCACCCACATTCCCGAGAACCCACACCAATCCATCTCACTGGCCATGCCCCTCGATTCCTACCCAGTCCTCCAGTCCCATCCCCCTTCCCGTTGCACCCCCCTTACCCAAACAGGAGAGGAACACCAGGGCCAGAATGAGCTGCACGTGGCTTTTCTCCGGACCCAGGAAGACTAGAAGCCGACTCACCGCCAGGCCAAAAGCCCCTCGAGTTCCTTGCACCCAGAGACTCCTGATCTTATACCACAGGGTGGCCGCGGGCAGTGCCGCCCCATAGCTGAGAGCGAAGGCGTCCAGGCGACTTCCCCAGTGCAGGGGCCCGGCGCTGTCCGCGTCCCCGGGGGCTGGCCAGGAGACCAGCTCTCGGAACAAGGCGAGTCCCGGCAGGGCCAAGCCCAGCGCCGCCGCCAGCGGCTCTAAAACAGCCAGCCACCCCGGGACTCGCGTGCTTTCCCTCCGGAAGCCCAGCGCGGCCCCGACGACGCCGCGGGCCCCCAGCCACAGCAGCGCCCAGCGGCTCAGACCGGCCACCCAGACCCGGAGCAGCGGCAGCGCAGGGGGCACCAGACGCGATGCCACTCGGGGCAGCGCCGGCCGGAGCAGCATCCAGTCGGCGAGGAGCAGCAGCGCCGTCCCCAGCCACGCGACGGCGGCGCGGGGGAGGCGCGGACGGCCGCCGGGAGCGGGGGACCCCGGGCAGGCCATGGGCGCGCGCGGTCCCGGCTCTCGCTGTCCCCGACGGGGTGCTGTCGGAGTCCGAGCCCCGGGCCGGAGCCGGGACCGCCGCGGGGAGGGGCCGGGGCGGGGCCTCGAAAAGTCCCGGGAGCCGGCCGAGCCAGCGGCGCTGCCCAGAAGCAGGCGGTTTAGGGGAAAGAGAAAACGAAAGCGGCCCGGCTTGCCAGGCCCGGCCCCTGCGGAGGCGGCCGGCCCAGAGCACCCAGGAGGAGCGCGCTGACCTCAGATCCGAGGCTGACCTCCTCCATCGCCCACCCGCGCCCCGCCTCGCATGCCGCCGCCTCCTGCAGTGGCAGCGCTGCCCGGGACTTCTAGCCCCGGGTCTGCGGGCGGGGCTCCTGCGTCATCTGTCTCCGGGCAGATCCGCTGGCCCCGGTCTCCTGCGTCATGTGTCTCCGGGCAGACCCTCCCCGCGCAGGTTAGCGCCGGGCCACCCCGGGCGGCGGCGCGGAGTCGGGCGCCCCCTGGCGGGCGCAGCGCAGGGGCGGAGCCTCGGGCAGCGTGCGGCGAGCGGTCCCAGGTCGGAAACCAGAGCCCGGAGCGGCGAGCCTCGCGGAGCCGGGATGCTGCGGACCGGAGCCCCCACCGGGGATTTGCCCCGGGCAGGAGAAGTCCACACCGGGGTAATGAGTCTGGAGCGTCAGCGGAGGGACGGAGGGACGGGCGGACCCTGGAAGCGCCACAGGGTGAACTCGGAGACTCGCAAGAGGGAGGAGACCGCTTGCAGCAGCCGGGGCGCGCATCCGAAAAGGAACACTGGCGTCTCCGTACAGAAGCGGGGTGCTCGGGGGTCCGCCAAGGGGCTGGGCGCGGGGGGCCGGCTGGGAAGGGGTGCTTGGGCTCCTAGCTGGAAGCGTTGAGGGGAAGCTGCTCTAGAGCGCTTTCGCTTTCGCTCTGAACTAGAGACGGGCTGCTTAAATGAAGCGGGGGAGCTGGAGAAGTCGCGCAGAAATGAGGACACGGTGCCCCGAGTGGACAGGACGGCACTTGGGAGCGTGTGGGCGCTGACGGGAAGGAACGCGCCCCACAGACCTTTGCTGGGCTCGCTCCGGGGAACTCACGGTCCCGCCACTGATAACACGGGTTCCCTGTGAACTAGCGCTGCCAGTGCCAGCCTGGTCCAGGAAGGCAGCTACTTGGCCCGGGTGCAGCGTGCTCCCCTCCCCGTGTCTTCCGCACCCACCTCCACACCCTGCTGGAGGACTTTTGCCCAGGCTGGGCCCCCGGGGGCTGGTGGCAGCCCTTGGCTGGATGGCTTCTGCTCTCAAGTGACCGCCGCTGCTCTCCGCTTCGGGCAGCCTGTAATAACGGAGTAACCTCTCGGGTGGGGTTTCCCCTGATCTCTGGTCCGCTCTTCACGATGAATCAATGTGTCAAAATGAGCACTGCGGCCAATAGCCCCGGAGGCCAGAGCGACTTATGAAGCCCTGAGGAATATAGCAGTGAAACCATTCATAAAGTAGAAGCTCTTCCCCTCACCACCAGATGAACAGTGGAAAGTACGAAGTACAAGTCACAACAGACCCTGGGAGCTGGTCGCGGGTTTAGTCCTGTGTGACCTTGGGCAAGTCACTTGCCTTCTGTATGATGCAGTTTCTTCCTTTGTAGGATCTTTAAAGTTAAAAACTGTGGCTTTGTTCTCCTTCACTCTTCCTTAATTCTGTTCTTGACTTGGAAAAGCAGCTAAAACTCCCCAATCAAATCCTCTCTTGGTACAGATCTCTTCCCCTGGCTATTTACTCTTTTAAAGAAAAAAAAAATTATTTTTTAGCCACGCCACATGGCATGTGGGATCTTAGTTCCTTGACCAGGAATCAAACCCATGCCCTCCTACAAAGGAAATGCAGTCTTAACCACTGGACCACCAGGGAAGTCCCCTGGCTGTTTACCTCTTGATCAAAAATCCATAAATGAGACCTTTATTTTAAACTGTCCCATGTGTTTCTTGATACTTTCCTGCTTCCTTGACACGTGGCCATGGTAACCACTGACCTCTGAGATGTTTTCCCTTGTTCAGTAAACTGATTAAGGGGAGAGTGGGGTGGACAATTCTGGGCTAATAAAAAGGCTTGGGCTTGTTTCCCAAGGTCACGGTCACTTGCTGTGTGGCAAGATCTGCAGCACATCTGTGCACATAACAAGCGCATGCAGAGGTCATTCATTTGTGGGGCTGCGTCCCCAGGGCCTGGAAGTGCCCCCCTGAGCCCTTCACTCAGAGGGAGCACTTATGCCCCTGGGAGCTTCACCACCCCACCACTCCCCCGCTTTACAGCGGAAAGAATTTTAGGGATGCCATTCTTTCTGTGTGATATCCCCGGCCAGACTCTGACATTCCCTTGCAGCCAGGAAAGACAATAGACAAAATGGAAACAAAAAAAATCCCATCCTGGGAGTCGACTCTGGCCTAAATTACCAGATAACCTTGAGCCAGTTGCCTCCCCTCTCTGAGAATGTTTCCTTATCTAACGTGAAGGGTTCAAGGCTCTTCCCTCTCTGACGTTCTATCCTGTGTCTCCGCAGACAACCATCATGGCAGTAGAGTTTGATGGGGGCGTCGTGGTGGGATCGGATTCCCGGGTGTCTGCAGGGTGAGTGCCAGTGACCCTGGGTACTTCTGGAAGGAAGCTCATGGCGCCCAATGCACATTTTTAGTCATTCATAAAGACATGCATAAAGTCATTCATTTAAAGTCATTCATAAAGGCAAACCGAAGCTCTGGAGAAACTGAGTGAACCTTTCAGAAAGGCCTCTATAATAAGATACTGGGGGGGGGGGGTCCTCTGAACTCCAGGGGAGAATCTGGGGCCTGAACGCTGATGTGGCCTGTCCCAGGGGGTCATCGAATTGGGTCTGAAAAGAGCTTAGGAAATAGTTTTCAGAGGCCTTCCTTCCATCTGGGTTTAAAGATAGAAAAGATGGTTCTGCTGAGCAGATATCCTGGTTTCTGATCCATTGTGTGAACTAAGTTTGTCTTTCTCCCTTTCGGCCAGTTTCCCCACATACAAGAAAAGTGTACAGGATTAGATCAACATCACTTACTTTATGTGCCATAGAACAGATAACTTCCTCAAGATGGTTAATAACAGAAAAATTAGTAAGGGGAAGATTATTCTTAATTTAATGTAGTATTTTTGTTTTATCATAAAATCTAAGTCTGATTTTGATCATTACTTGCAGTGTTTCATTTGTCTGAGACAATTTTTTCCTTCCTGCTTTAATCCAGGCATTAAATTTCATGTGCTCTGAAGCCATTCTATTGTCAAAAGAATATCAGAAATTTTAGCAACTCGCTGTAGGAGCCTGCAATCCGATTCCTGGGCATCTATCCAGGCAAAACTGTAATTCAAAAAGATGCCTGCACCCTCCTGTTCGTAGCAGTGCACATGTTCTTTATCCATTGCTCTGTTGGTGGACATTTAGGCTGCTTCCATGTCCTGGCTATTGTAAATAGTGCTACAGTGAACACTGGGGTGCATGTGTCTTTTTGAATTATGGTTCTCTCCAGATGAATGCCCAGGAGTGGGATTTCTGGGTGGTATGGTAGTTCTGTTTAGATTTTTAAGGAACCTCCATACTGTTCTCCATCATGGCTGCACCAGTTTACCTTCCTACCAACAATAACAGGGTTCCCTTCTCTCCATAGCTTCACCAGCATTTATTGTTTGTAGATTTTTTTTATGATGGCCATTCTGACCAGTGTGAGGTGATACTTCATTGTAGGTTTTATTTTTATGAACAAAAACACAAACGGACTCACAGACATAGAGAACAGACCTGTGGTTGCAAAGATGGGGGAAAGGAGAAGGATTGGGAGTCTGGGATTAGCAGGTGCAAACTGCTATATACAGAATGGATAAAGCATTTCTCTAACAATTAGTGGCTGAGTATCTTTTCCTGTGCTCTTTGGCCATCTGAATGTCTTCTTTGGAGAAATGTCTATTTAGATCTTGTACCCATTTTTGATTGGATTATTTGTTTTTTTATATTCAGCTGAATGAGCTGTTTGTATGTTTTGGAAATTAATCCTTTGTTGGTTGCTTCATTTGCAAATATTCTCTCTCACCCTGAGGATTGTCTTTATACTAAATTTAAAAAAAGGAGTGGACATCTTTATATAATTCACTTTGCCATACACCTGAAAGTAACACAACAGTGTAAATCAACTATACTCCAATAAAAAATTTTAAAGATGTGATATATATGTATATTATGTGTGTGGATATATAGAGAGATATCACAGTGGGCTATTACTCAGTCCTAAAAAAGAATGAAATAATGCCATTTGCAGCAATGTGGATGGACCTGGAGATGATCAAATTAGGCATAGTCAGAAATAGGAAGACAGATACCACATGATATCATTTATACGTGGAATCTAAAATACGACAAATGAACATAGCTGCAGGACAGAAACAGACTCACAGACAGAGAATGACCTGTGCTGGGCGAGGTGGGGGCGGGAGAAGGGTGGGGAGTCGGGGATCAACAGATGCAGTTATACACAGACGGGATAAACAAGATCCTACCATATAGCACAGGGAACTCATTCAAACTCCTGTGATAAGCCATAATGGAAAAGAATATGGAAAAAAAAAGTATATATGTATAACTGAACCACTTTGCTGTACAGTAGAAATTAACACTGCAAATCAGCTATACTTAAATTTTTTTTTCTGAAAAATTGGCAACTCTGACGCTGATGACTTTGCACTCCTTGCTGACAGAGAGGCGGTGGTGAACCGAGTGTTTGACAAGCTCTCCCCCCTGCACCAGCGCATCTACTGCGCTCTCTCCGGCTCAGCTGCTGACGCTCAGGCCATAGCGGACATGGCCGCCTACCAGCTGGAGCTCCACGGGTATGAAACGGTGGGGTCCCCAACTCAGTGAACGCCAACACCGTGTCCTATTCCAGGGGCGCTACCGTGGAATAGGAAAACTTCTTGCTTTGCCTTCAGCTTTCATTTCTCTTTGAACTGGCACTTTAATCTCTCAAAGCTGGTTTCTGCATCTGTAAAGCAAAGATAACTAATAGCACCTCCCCTACCTCACCAGATAGTTATTTCCAAAACCAAAAAATATGAATAAAAGTGATTTGAACACTGCAAATCACTCTCCTAATATCAATAGTGAGGAAGAAGATGAGGACACAGCCCACCATGGTATCAGGTGGTGTCCATGTGGGAGCCAAGGTCACGGGGCGGAAGTGACGCTTATCTGCTAAACCCATATGGGCAAGGCTCTGGTAGCCAGGAGACTTTTGTC